ATTCTCCGCGTGAGTCACCATGTGGCATCCAGCTTGCTGAAGCTCGTGATGAATATCGTCGAAAACGACTGTCGAACAGTCGATAAGTGGCGGCTAATACTGTCAGTCAGAGGTGCGAAAATTTTACTGTGGTCGTCCACATTAGAACTATATCTGGTCTCCACAAACTGGGATTGATGTCATGATTTAGAGATGCAGGCAATTATTCACAGCTGAACTTGGCTAGCCTTTGAAAGGCAGCTTCTTGGGTGTGAAAAGGTGCATTCATTTTTAACTGTCTGTGGTAGCACTGATACGGTTCACAGAAATGACACGGGAACAGGAACCACTCGTAATACAAGTGACTGTGGGCTAAATTCTAGGGGCGGTTTACGGTTAAAGTTGAAGTTCACTTTGCAATTAATATTAAGTTCAGAACATGCAAATAAGTACCCATCCAGGAATTTAGCGTAAGGTCTCCAGTGTTACGGCAGGGGTGCGTTTTCCATTGCGTGTCATGCCAAATGCATGCAAGTGACGCCAACCCAACGCTCGCTGACATCGCCGCAGCACCAATAGCCGATGGCTCCAATCTTGAGATCTCGATTTTGGTTTGAGTTCTTTACAGGCATTACAAAGTATGGCACTGACCTGGGTTCTCCCGGCCAGCCCTCACATGTCTACTAACTTTCCGAAATGCCGACTGACGGCTGAAGGTTCCTGAAGTACCTAACTGACTGAAAGTCACCTAAATAATCATGATTTGCGTTAGTCACTAGCGTTTTCCCACAAACTCTAAGGATCAGTGTGCGTTTATTCACCCACCTCCTCTCAGATGCATCCTATTCAATTCCTGGGATTATAGTGGTAGGTTTCGTGGGGTGTAGAGGTACACGATTTTTCTTGACGCTGAAGAATGTGTTGAGTTAAGGGTGGGAAGAGGCATTGATTCTTATTTTTGCATTTCAGTTGCCGCCAAGGAGCCAGATAAAGACGAACCCATAGCAGTACCTCACAGTTGCTTATTAGGTAGTTCGGTATATTTGTTTTCTAGGAAAATCTCTCGTAGTTGAAATAAAACGTCGTCAATTATATCAGTATTATAGGCCTGAATTAGTTTGTTGATGAAGCGTTGCGTTAACTGTAGAGAGGAACCTTGATACTATTTCCTGGGACTGAAAGATTTAAATTTTCTGTAAAATATTGTATGCAAGCAAAAGTGGACAAATGGCCTTTTCATTTGAATATGAAGCCCCAATGAACGATAGCTTATCCACCTGCGACTGATGACCAGCGTCCTTTAATGTGGACCAAATAAGGTTATGCACCTAACTGTATGCTTGGCAGGCAAATAATCTTGGGAAGCCTGAACCTCACACAAGTTAGACTGTCAAGAATATCATAGCCCAAAGGAGCCTTTGCAGCAAAAAGCGCGTGTTGATGTACTCAATCGCGTTCGATTAATTAGAGTATTAAGTACGCTGAATTAAGAATTCATGTAA